ATTATTTTTTCATTTTCTTTTTAAAATCTGTATTTATCTAAACTAATCAGTATAACTTCTCATAATAAAGATCTTTCCAGTCAAGAAAATAAACTAAAGAAAAAGTCTAATGTGAAAATAAAATGAGTTTTGCTTTAAGCTTTTTGTGTTTTTAAATTGTTGTCACATCAACTATAAATTAGAACAACTTTTCTATAAAAAGAAAACAAGAACTTAATGACATTTGTCACAATCTTTATAAATCACATATTTTAGTCTGATAATTCCACTTCTAGCAATAATAAATGCAATATCTGTACACAAATATTTTCATGGCAATAGTGTAGAAAAACAGAAAAAAGCTAAGCAGGTGTGACGGTGCATGCTTGCAATCCCAGGAACTGGGGTGGCTCAGGCAGCGGGATCAACAGTTAAAGGTCAGCCTGCACAACTTAGGAAGGCCCTAATCAACTTAGCAAGACTCTGTCTCAAAATAAAAAGAAAAAGTGCTAAAGATGTGGCTTAGTGGTTAAATACCACTGGGTTCAATCCTTAGAACCAAAAGAAAACCCAAACAAGAAAGAGAGAGAGAGAGAGGGAGAAGGAGAAAGAGAGAGGGAGGGAGGGAGGAAGGAAGGAAGGAAGGAAGGAAAGTTAAATATTTCATTTTAGAAGAAGGATAAAATAATCCTCTCCATATAAAAATGTAAGGGCTGGGGCTATGGCTCAGTGGTAGAGCACTCACCTAGCATGCATGAGGCACTAGGTTCAAGTCTCAGCATCACATAAAAATAAAATAAAGGTATTGTGTAAAAGACAAAAAACCGAGCTATATCCATATAAAAATGTATCCATATAACAGCCATTATACAGTTTTCTAAAATAAGTTGGCCAATAAATTTTAAAGTTAAATGTTTAACTTTAAGAGAAAAAAAATATAAAACTTTTTATGTCCTAAGATCAACTATATTAAAATATATATAGGAGCAGGAAAAAAAATCTTAGAAGTATACAAAATGTTAACAGTTATTATCTCTAGGTAAGGAAACTGGAATTTCACAATTCCAGCATATTCACAGATTCTAAGGGTTCCTACAGTATTAAAAAACTGCATTTGATTTTAATGTTATGGTAGTGACCAATTCAGAGACTCCAAAACCTGGACACATTATATTTTAAGTAAGTGGTAACACTTATAGTCTCCTAAAATTAACACTGCATTACATTATATTATAATTGGCGACATTTCTGTCTTAGGACTTTTCTTGCAAATTTAAGTGTAACCAGGCATGTGTGATTTAGAAGTTTTCATTTTACACACTATCTTTTCTCAAAATGTGCTGCATATCACTTTACTACAGTATTTGTTCAATGTTCACAACTAGCCAGCCTCTTGCAACAGATTTTCTATAGCAAATATTAAACCTTCTGTAAAAATAATTCAGAGCTATGTTTGTAGATATAATAGCCAGAAATCAGAAAAATAAAATGTAGAAATCTAATTATACAAATGTTGAAATCTCAGGAAAGCTTTTACAATCTGAAGGAAGCATAAAAACTGTGTGAAAGAAAGTACTTTTATCACTGCTGATCATTCCAAAGCTCATGAGTTGTTACAACACAGCCTTAGGCCAAATAATAAAGTGCCAAATGGAAAATGGCACAAGTCCATGGATTGTAAATACCGTATCAAAAGAAAATAAAAGAAGTCTTCCATTATAGCAATTAAAAATGTAGTTGTAGCACCAGGTCCTATGATGTAGCACCAGACAAGCACTCTATCAACTGAGCTATATCTCCAGCTCCCTACGATGCCTTTGAAACTTACTTTAGCAATTCCAAGAGTAGACACTGTTTAACAAATACATTCTCCACTGCAGTAACTTTAAAACCTTACTGTATATTCCGAGAGTCCCTAAACATTTAAAACTATAGTGGGGTTGAATGGAGGAAGTGATTCGTAACTATCACCTGAAATTTTCGTGTGGTACTTGATGACAAGGAATCTCTCTGATCCATTACATTGTACAAAACAGTCAATAAAATGCAGATAAACATTGCAAGTAAAAATATTTATATTAATGTGCCCAAACACACATTTATTTAGACCATAAATTCCTAAGCAATGAAAAATTTATATTAAGCATCAATCATTCATTATTCCATAATTGCATTTGTGAAATAATTTACACTAAATGAGTATGTTCTGCTACAGTGCTTATTTATGTATTTGTTTGTTTTGTTTTTATGGTGTAGGGACAGAATCCCATAGCCTTGTGCATGCGGGACAAGCACTCTATCAACTGAGCTATATCCCCAGCTCCCTACGAGGCCTTTGAAAACCCGCAAATTAAGTTTGAATTCAAAACCTCATTAAGTAATTCATCTGTAAAAATAAAAAGAGGTGTCTGCTCAGGAATATCACAAGTTCAAGGCAAGCCTCCACAACCTGGAGAGACCCTGTCTAAAAATAAAATAAAACAGGCTGGGAATGTATCTTACTAGTAAAGTGCCCTCCCTGAGTTTAATTCCCACTACTGCAGAAAACAAAAACAAAATAACAAAACAGACAAAAGTGTTGGCAAGGATACAGAGAAAAAGGAAGTCCTGTACACTGTTGGTGGGAACGTAAATTGGTATAGCCACTATGGAAAACAGTAGAGGTTCTTCAGAAATGAAGCCGATCTACTATTCAATCTAGCAAACTCACTTCCGAATATATATTCAAGGAAAATAAAGATACTTCTGAAAGAAGTCTCTATGCTCCAATGTTAACTGCAGCATTATTCACAATAGCCAAGATTTGGAATCAATCTAAGTGTCTATGAATGGGTGAATGCACAATGAAAATGTGGCATATATACACAATGGAATACTGTTTGGCCTTAAACAAGAAGGAAATCCTCTCATTTACAATACCATGAATATGAGAGATATTATTCCAAGCGAAATAAGCATGGCACAGAAAAACAAATACTGTACAATCTCACTCATATGTGGAAAACTCACAGTAGCAGAGTACAATGGTGGCTGCCAGGACTAGGAGGATGGGGAAAAGAAGGACATTTTGGCCAAAGGATACAAAGTTATGGTGGTACACACCTATAATCCCACTGGCTTGGGAGGCGGAGGCAGGAGGATCGCCAAGTTCAAAGCCAACCTCAGCAACAGTGAGACGCTAAGCAACTCAGTGAGACCCTATCTCTAAATAAAATATAAAATAGAGCTGGGGTGTGTGGTTGAGTGCCCCTGATTTCAATCCCAAGTACCCACCCCTTAAAAAAAAAGTTATGGATGATAACTTCTAAAGATCTAATGTAATGCATGAGAAAGATTGCATGGCGCATGTGAAATTAGTTAATAATTCATACCTTAAATGTTCTCATTAAACACAAAAACAGTAACTGCGTGGGGTGATGGAAATGTCAATCACTAGACTGTGATCAACACTTCACAATGCATACACAAACCGTTCATACTGCTCACCATAAATACACATAACATATAGGACAGGGAAAGAAAAGTCACAAACCTTCACTCATCCATCAAAGCTCAACTAACAGCTTTCAGAAAGCAATCTAAAATTCCCCAAGTTACACTAAGAGCTAGAGATGCTAATCTTGTGTGAGACAACCATAGTGGCCTACCTTCAGTACCATCAGGGCACATTGCCAGTGCTGGGTTTCAATGTTCTTTTTGCAGAAATATTAATATACTCGAAGCAACCTAAAGGACCCTTTTTTCCCCTGAATATCAGGGCCACGTGAGTAATGAGAGATATATAACAAAAAGACCTACATGTAAAAAGTGACTTCTTTGTGGAACTGTATGTTAAAAAAAAGGAAGGAAGGAAGGAAGAAAAAAACAAACAAACAGAATATTAGGCATCCTAAGTGTAAAATCTCCTAGTTGACCTCTTCCTATAAAACTAAACTTACTGCAAAAATCTGTATATATCCCAGCAATCTCAATCTTGGTCATTTATTCCAGTGAAATGAAAACTCTTGTGTATATAATACCTGTTCATAACAGCTTCACTGATAGTAGCCAAACACTGGAAACACCCAGATGTCTATCAACAAGTGGTGTACACAGCTATCATGGAATGCTACTGCTATAGTTTGGCTCTTCATTGTCCCCAAAAGTCCCATGTTTTAAAGGTTCAGTCCTCTGCTTGGCACTCTTCGGAAAGGGAGGTTTTAGGTCACTGGTGGAGAGCCCTTGAAGAAAAATGTGGAACCCTGGTTCCTTCCTTTTTCTTGTTTCCATTTCCCAACAGGTCTGAAATAAGCAGTCTCCTCTGCCACAGGCTCCTGCCTTACCATAGGCCCATAGACAATGGACTTAAAGCTCCAAAACTGGACAAAAATAAATCTTTTTTAAAAGTTGATTGATTACCTTACTATTAGGTTACAGGAACCCAGAACTAGCTGACACAACTACTCAGGATTAGAAAGGAACAAACTTTGATAGAATTTGTTTGAATCTTTAGGGAATTAGCTTAGAGAAAAAAGCTAACTCCACCAAAGTGCACATTGTATGATTCCATTTATATCTTTCTGAAAAAACAATACTTTAGAAATGGGAACAGGAATGAGGTAGGTGTGCCTATGAAAGGACAACACGAGGGGTCTTTATATGATAGAAATGTTCAGTATCTTGACTGTGGTGATGAATACACAAAGCTTTATGTGTCAGAACTGTACAGAACTAAACAGAAACACAAAAATGGGTACAAGTAAAAGTGGGGAACTCTGAATGGGCCTGGATTATAACATGAACATTCTGTTTGTGATACTTGCCGTAGTTTCACAAGGTGTTGCCACTGAAAGAAAATAGGTAAAGGAAACAGGATCTATCTTCCTTCTTACAACTGCATTAAACCTATAGTTTTCTCAATAATATTTTGAATTAAAAATTTACTTTCTTAAAAGTTTCAGCTAAAAACTCAGTCTCTCTGGAGTCTCTGTTTCTTTCAGAATTTAATTTAGCACAGTTAGAAGGCAGAATAAATTACTTACATTTGGGACATCAATCGCTACTTCCCTCATGGCACTGGGCCTGATGTCATTCATTCCCTGTAAGAAATCATTCAGAGTAATCTTCACTAACCCAGCCACCTTACTATCGGGGAGAACAGGCTGCTTCCTCAGGACTCTTCGCAAGGCACAGAGACCTACAAAAAGGGAAAGTAATACAAAATTTACCTTTTACCCCATAAGTACAGACTGAATAAAAATAATAATAGCCAGGTAGGGTGGCGCACACCTGTAAGCCTAGCAGCTCAGGAGGCTGAGGCAGAAGGATCCCAAGTTCAAAGCCAGCCTCAGCAATTTAGTGAGGCCTTAAGCAACTTAGCAAGACCCATCTTGAAGTAAAAAAATAAAAAGGACTGGGGATGTGACTCAGTAGTTAAGTGCCTCTGGGTTCAATCCCCAGTACCCAAAAACCATAAAATAAAAATAATAATAAAAAACCAAATTCCATGAATAATATTAAAAATACTTTGTGCTTGCAAGTATGTATAGGGTAGAAGGGGAAGGAGATGGAAGACAAAGTTCCAACAGCTTATTTCAGCAATGGAAACACGACAAACTGAAATTAAATATGAAAAGACAAATAAATTACAAACAAAACAGAACTTACAAAACAACACCCATAAATAAGATCATAAAGGCTTATGAAAATAATTGGCTTGAGAATGTCTTTTAAAAGAGTAAAATATTAACATGCTTTTGCCACTGCCCTTTGCATGAATACATTCAAACCCAAATAAAAAGGTTTGTAGGGCACGGGTAGAACAACTTGAAAGGAAATATTCTATTGGGTTTACAGTCTAAACTGTGGTTTGGAAACACAAGAGGAAAGACTTCAGAGTCATGTGCACACATGAGGTCTGATATTAAAAGAGGAGGAGGCATGAGGCAGAAGGCTCAACCCAGGAAAGCTCAACATGTGAAGAGCATATAAAGAAACGACTGCTGTGCAAGAGAGAACCAAAGGAAAAGATGAAAGAAGAATCAGAATGTTAACATACTAAAGGAACCAAAAAGATGATCAAAAAGCCGGGCACAGTTGCACATGCCTGTAACCCTAGGGGCTCAGGAGATTGAGGCAGGAGGATTGCAAGTTCAATTCTAGCTTCTGCAATTTAGCAAGGGTCGGAGGAACTTAGCAAGACCCTGTCTCAAAATAAAAAATAAAAAAGGCTGGGATGTATGTGCTCAGTGTTTAAGTCCCCTGGGTTCAATACCTGATACCAAAAAAAAAAAAAAAAAATCAACAATGTCAATTTTAGGGAGTCCAAAATAACTTAAAGGATATGGTGCTGACCTCAAAAGCTAAGTCTTTTGTCTTTTGTTTGTATTTTCTGCTTGCAGTTCAAACACTGACAAGACTGAATGTTCCAACTCCTGTGATCAGACTACCTCAGATCTGTGGCACCAGCACTAAAGCCCCTAAGTGCTCTTTGACCTTGGTGACTTTAGTGAGGTGCTGTATATTTTGGTTCCAATGCACAATAAAATTCCACTTTGAAGAATTTTAGTCTCAGAAATCTCTTACAAATCCAGTCTGAACACTGAAGATAGAGTTCCCATCATTTTTAAACCACTTTTTTCCAAGATCAATGCCTCAATGAAGTTTTACTAAATTAAAATTGTATCCTTTCATCTTTTTATTTACTTTCACTTACCTGAGATTTTATAAACACAAGCACTGACACAAGGAAGTTACACACAAATTCCCCCAGAGGCGAGCTTACACTAAGAAAAAACAACAGTGCAAAGACACTCAAGAATTAGATCAGCTATCTAAAATCTGTCAAGTCACTTACTCAGGCCTGTCTTCCCATTTGTTTATTTACCTTTCAAAACTCTGAAAGGGTCTCTGGTTGTGACTCAGGGGTAGAGCACTTGTCTAGCACCACATAAAAACAAATAAATAAAACAATAAAGGTCCATCAACAATGAAAAAAATATAAAACACTGAAAGGCAATTCTTCACACCTCTCAAGGTTCAGTCTCTGCTCAAGACACTCCTTTGAAGGATGTACACGTGCAAGAAAACAGAGAGTCTCCCTTCAAAGCCAAGTTCTAAGGCTTACCGCCCACCAGAGACACAGGTCCTCTACCCTCAACGTTGCCCTCCTATGACGCAACCTTGTATGGACTCAAAAGTCACTAAACCATCTCCATGAAACCCGAGGCTCAGGGAAGTGGTGCCAATGCTGCTATTCTGGCCACTTAGCATTCTGTCTCTGACTCCAGCCAGGAATATCGTGTCTTCTTCATGAAATGTGTCGGCCTACCAAGAGGTAAAATCTCAGACTCTTCCCAGCTCTTGACACAAAAATACATGTTTATCTTTACTGTGGTTTCAATGTTTTTGTTGCTTCCAAAACTAATGCTGAAACTTAATCTTCAACGTGACAGTGTTGGGAGGTGGGTTGAATGGGAAGTGTTAAGGTCATGAGGGGGAAGAGCCCTATGAATGGGTCAATACTGGTATAAAAAAGGATTTATGGAAGTCTGGGAATGTGGATCAAAGGCCAAACGTCTGCCCAGTCTGCCAGAGACACTGGGTTTGAGCCCTAGCACTGAATTATATACATAAATAGATGGGTGGATGGCTTTGCAGGAGTGGGCTCACTGTCCCTTCTTCTGCTGCTGAATTAGAATCTTCCCCACAGAGGATGGGGCATTCAAGTCACCATCTTGGAAGCAAAGATACCAGCACCAAATTTCTGTTCTTTACAAATTACCCAGTCTGTAGTGTTTTGTTACAGGTACACAAAATAAACCAAGACAATGTTAAATTAGATTGTTTCTCTGCTCTAGTTAAACGGGGCAGTAGCATTTAATACAGTGCTATACTGCGTTAAACAATACCTTGGTAACTTGAAAGAATTTAAGCTGTTTCTTAAAAAAAAAAACTACCATAAATAAAAGTAATCAAAAGACCAGAATAATCTAATCTTTCTTCATGTCCTAAATGACTATTTGGCAATACTTATCAATATTTCTAATTTAGACCAGATATACACATTACTTTTAGCAGTACTGACATACTAAAACCTGAAACAGGGCAAGTGCTCTAATAATCTTCCTACCATATTTGTTTTACAATTCAAGCATAAAATTTGACAACAAAGGGACCATTTACTTTCATTTGAGGAAGGACGTGAAAAAAGAACACAACATATGATTTTAGAAATGATATCCAGTATTATAATATCAATGTATATTTACAGAACATCATAATCTCTATGATTCCAGTACAAACTACAAAATTTAGAGTCTGATAAAATCTCCACACATATGATAGCAAAAAATAATAATAATAATAATAATAATTCACACGAGGAAAAAATAAAGAAGCATGAAATTTTTCAAAAGTTAAGAAAGAATAAAACACAAAGACTGGTTCTGTGATAAACTCACTACAACTTAATATATCCAATTAATAACTAAACAGCTATTTACCAATGATGTAATAATTTCTAAAAATACTTTCAGAACTTCTTTTTAAGCTAGATTATAAATCTTGCTTTATCACTGTAGACAGAAATACAAAATTCTTTTGGCCATTTCCCAAAGAAACTTATAATTAAAGAATGAAAATGGGTCATACCGAACATATTCAATCAAAAGTTAAAAATACAGGGTGTAAGTAAAGTCATTATGGCCAAGTAAATACACTAGATGAAATTCAATGCTTGCTTTGGCTCTCATAATGAATCACAGCTGTGAGTACTAGTGTATACTGAATCCGGTAACACAACCTAGTGAAGCATTAAGGCTGGGGTAAAATATGAGCACAAACAGCAGTAAAAACTTAGGCACATAAAAAAGGCTGTCTGTACTCCAGGAACTGTCACTAAACATTTGAAATCAATCAACATCATTCTCTACATTGACAGAATAAAAGAGATAATTGGCTCAAGAGGTGCAGAGAAGAAATGTGATAAAAATCAATTTAGAATTATTTTTAAAAATTAAGACTAAATGGTAAACCTCCTTAATACATTATCTAGAAATACACAGTAAATATCAGTCTTAACAGCAAGATATTAGAAACTTTATCCTGTAAGTCAAGAATAAGATGATTATTGTTAACACTTCTATTAAATATGTTAGAGCCAGGCATGGTGGCTCACTCCTGTAATCCCAGCAGCTCAGGAAGCTGAGGCAGGAGGACTGCAAGTTTGAAGGCAGCCTCAGCAATTTAGTAAGGCCCTAGGCAATTTATGTAAACCCTGTCTCTAAATAAAAATACAAAAAAAAAATGGCTGGGGATATGGCTTAGTGGTTAAGTGCCCCTGGGTTCAATCCCCAGTACCAAAAAAGTAATAACATAAAATAATAAATATTATATTAAAGGTCCTATCAACAACAATAAGAGAATGAAATACTAGGTAACAGACTGAAGTGAATGAAATAAAACTGCCATTATTCATCAATTATATAAATGTAAAAGTATGATATTAAGATACATAAAAAAACAAAATTTGCATGCCATTAAAGTGAATATACATTCAGCAAGATAGATAAGCAAAGTCAATGAAAAAATCCACTTTTTCTAGATACTAACAAAAAATAATTATAAGTAAAATTTTTAAAAATCCACTTGTAATTGCATTCAAAAAACAAAGTATATCAAAGAATCTAATGAATATTATACAAAGACTCCACAGAAAACTATCTTGAGATAAATGAAAGAAGACCAAAAAAAAAAAAAAAAGATATACTGGTGTTCATGGATGGCAAGATGTTAACTTTCCCATTCTCTCCCAATTAATCAAAAGACTTTATAATTTCAATCAAAAGTCAAGACATTTTATGGGTGTGGGGAGAAGGCTGACAAAATGGTTTTACAAGTTCTGCGGACAATCCCCAGCACTGCAAAAGACACACACAAACTCACCCATGCATGTGTGCACGCACACACATGCAAGGGCCAAGAAAAGTGAAAATAACCTTGATAAAGGAAAAACGGAGTGATTACCCTCCATAAATTAAGACTTCTAATAGGCTAAAAAGGATTAAATACATTTCAGTATTCTGCACAAAAATAAACAGAGAATCCAGAACAATACCAAACTTTTGATTTATGACAAAGGAACCAGAGAAAGAAGGAATGCTCACTCCCTAACTGGTGCTAGTTAAGAGAGCACCT